CAGTTGACTACAGTTTAGAATGATGTTCCACTTTTCACAGGCAATCAGTTGCATGGAGTGGTAGACTGTGTCGCATCACACCGGCTGAGTCCAAAGTTTATTGCCCTGCCCCAACGCTGACAGTATGTAGTAGTGATGTCAATCGGATACCAACTTTTTGGTATACCGATACCAAACCGATACCAAGCTGGTATTTGGTATTTCAAATGTAGCACGCTACATCTTGAACATTAAACGTAGTATCTTTTCGGCACGGCTCGGTCCGGCAGTCCCTCTCCCTCGCAGTCATGCCACACGCCTAGCCTCGCTTTCCCACACCCAAATCCCCCCCCCCCTCCCCAGTTCCCTTAATCTATCACTGTCCGCACAAAATGGGCAGCCGTTAAACTCCCATTAAGACGCGCGCTTTTGGAGACAGCTACCGCAGGATGAACGATTCGAATCCCAACAAGTAACAGCTGGATCAGTAACACTGTCAACAGCTCGTGGACCCACGCCGAGGACAGATAACGGCTGGGAGCGCTGGATCAGCAAGATACGTCATCAGATCATGGAGCAGTGTAAAGGATGGATGCCGGCTGGAGCACACAGCCTCCTTTGTCGGGGTACAACAACCCAGGGTGAGTGACCCGGCAGAACGCCTTGAAGGTGACCTCCACAACAAGCCGCAAGCAATGACCTGTAGTTCCAGAGATCTCCGCAGAGGAAGAAGGCGCTGCGTTACGGCCACGCCCCGGTACGGTGGGCGGAGCAAGAGTGACGTCACAGGGGCGTTGGCGGCAGACGAAACGGAAGGAAACAAAAGTTTGAATAAAATGAAATTGAAGAATCAAAATTAAAACTCGAAAATCACAAACCTTTCGGGGATTGTTTTATGCCAGCGATTATTAAAATGATAAAGCACTCAACACGAAGACGATTCGACGGCCAAAAATTGCAGGCACAGAGGAGCAAGGTGACTAAACAGGACAGAGGGCGCCATCTTACGGCCCCACCCACCAGAAGAAGGCAGAGGAAGATGACGTCGCAAGGGCGTGGCAGTCACCCCTCCCCCCAACTATAAAAGGGTGCGCCACCCAACCAGAGAGAGAATCACAGTCAAGCAGCCGAGAGTCACAGTCCACAGCTGGAGCCGGAGACGCCATCTGGGAGCCGCCGTCAGTCCGGGGTCACCCGCGAGAAGCCTCTTCAGTTCGAGTGATCAGAACCGAGGACAGCCGCCGACGCTTGTGACCACACTGAGAAGCGGAAGCACAGAGAAACTCCAGAATGTGAGTGTTGTTCAAAAGTCTGCTCAATCCCGATCCTTGACCCCCCCCCCCCTCTGCCCAGCCTGCCGTGCCGTGACGACTGCCAAACATTTTCGGTTGCCATAAAATGCACTCTCAATTGGAATTGGAAAACTTAAATTACTTTGAACTTATTGGTCCAGACACCCTAGTAGCATATTAGGATCTGAATTTTGAGGTCATGTCAGAGCCGCCAGTAAATACGTTATTGTCAGTTGGAGTACGGAATACATCGCGATTCGGTCGAGAACGGGATGCTAAAATTTGAATAAGCAGCCCAGTGTCTCGAACGCTGAAATTGATGACAGGATGCGTGACAGCGTTGAAATGTCTTTGTCTTTGGTTAAACTGGTTCGTTCGATTTATTATCGGCGGGTGCGATTTGAGATTGGAACGTTTGTGAAATTGAGGGTTTAGATTCGTGCTGTACTCACTAACAGTTGCATTGCGAAATCATTGGTAATATTGCTGTAGGAATTAATTGCGAAGTCGAAATCATTCAGTTATAGAACAGGTAAATACGGTTGAAAGAATGTAATGGTTTAAGGTGGCGACTGATTCATGCAATCGATCTATGAATATGGCTATGAGTTATGATTTTCGACAGATACGAATGCTTGAGCTTACGGCGGAATTTCTTCTGTTACTTAGGTGCAGAGTTGAGAGTAGTGGTTTGAGGTCGACGGTTTGACACTTTGCAACTTTAGATGGTCCTTGTACTTTGCGTCATTGAAGTGGCGAAATGTCGAGTAAGAGGTAGATGTAGAATTGTTTGTGGTTAGAACTAATATGCGACTAATATAGGTACCTACCGATCGTTGTGCTTTTGTAGAATAAATACTAGAAAAGACTATCTTTGTTGGGGAACGATTAAATGGGACAGGAATTTCATTTAAAAAAAAAAACTTACGTGAAATGGAGCTGATGAGATGTCGAACGGGGAGATATTGCAGCGATATTTTACCAGATTCACACTCACTGACACATCCGGATAAAGCTACCCGGCCAGAAGAGACAACCCGCACGAGCACTGTACCGCGAGTGGTGACGCGCCCATCGCGGCGTGGCCTTGACTGTCGACGCGACGCCAGCCGGCGGCCAGTATCGTCGCTCTCGACGCGGGCGTTGAGCCGCCAGAGGGCGTAAAAAGCAGCCACAACAGGGGCAGTGGGTTAGCCGTAATTGGGGCGCGTGCGGTAGGTGAAGGTCACGTGTAGGAGCCTAGTTAGTTGCGGAAAGTTGCAACGGGATAAGAACGTAGACAGTTAAATATGACATGCTATACGATATCTAGGACTGCACTTCGTTTGATGCGCATTGTTTACTGCTAATAGGATGATTTAAATTAGATTCCCTATGAAAGGCTAGGGACCCTATGACAATATTCTGACACTCTCTAAAGATAATTTGTTTAGGTAACTAGTAGCCCATCAGAAGTTATCGAACGAGTTTCAAGGAGGCATTTCCGTTTGAGCATTCAGTAATTCACTATGATACGGTGGATCACAACCAGACGACAGATCGGTGCGAACTCATTGGTTCTAGATCATCTGATTAAATCAAGAACGGTTCAAGGTTTGTTAGGATTGTATACGAGAACTGATGATTAGGTTCACGCGTGCAGCAGCAATTAGGACTTGAGATTACGATTAGGTTCGGATAAATTATGCGTTTCTGTTATTCGCGTTCTTGCGAGTTAGCGCCAATAATTACTCCAACAATATTGGCACAGGGCATTGTGAGGCACAGACGGCTTGTTTGCCCGTCTCCTATGGCGTAACGTTTACCAGCATGACTGTATGAGACACAGATGCACTTCTCCAAACCCACGTCCAGACCGAAATGATAAGAGGGACACACCGTCACGTACGCAGGGCATGTGCACGTTTTCCGCCAGTGGTACCGGCCACTGTTAATTTTCCCGCTTAGGTAACACTGGGTGAGAAGGCAGTGAGAGGTTTCTACGGCAGGGGGAAGGGGAAGATTGGCACAGTGCATTGGAGAGTAAGTTATGCCAAAGGCAAGAAGCCGAGGGTCAGGGGTGAGTTACCCAAAGGGCGGATAAGTCGAGCCGTAGTGTCCCGGATAAGTCCTCATACTTATTTCTACTTATTTCGTAAAGGTACTCTAAGCGGTACTGGACAGCCTCAGGGGAGGGAAGAATGTACTCCAGGACACGTAAGGCCTTGAAGAGTAAATCCCATGGTTTAAGGATAGTTCCAGGATATGAACTGTGGTCCCTGGGTCGTGAACGGGAATGTTACACGCGGACCGGAAGAGGGCATAGGTAATCTCTCCCGGTAGAGAGATAAGTCGGATATAAATCGTGTATGTGTGTACCATAAGTCTATCGGACGTGTAGTGAATCCCATAAATTAGTAGGGTGGATATTTGTGCATAATTATTCTGGACGGCCCTGCGATAAGTATCTTTGTCGCCGGTTAGCGGAGCATGCATATGGATTTCGGAAAGAGACATTTATCTCGCCGGGGAGACCATGGTTTGTAAGACGCCTAACACTATCGGAGGGAATTTCGGGGGCTACCAATTAAATCTGGGTGAATATATGAAATGTGAACGTAATGCGAGCAAGGATGTGAGAATGATGACGCATGAATCTTAGAGTAAGGCCGATAGGAATTTGGTAGAATTCGGTTACGGCAGTCGAACAAACGATTCTCGAGGGCAACTTAAAACTAGCAACGCTAATGCGAATTAAGTGGGCAATTTTCTTAATGGGAAGGCCAGTGATATAGGAATGGGTGACTGGAACAATGATCACATTCAATTTATCAATGTAATTACCACCCATATGTTTGGCAGTGGTCATCGGGACCTCGAATGCCCTGTCCTTCACCTGCCCAACTGTGCCGCAAACCCAGCTGATCGGATCCCTCTATCCCTAATCCGAGCAGTGAAGAAGCATCTCGTGCATCATGGTCTATACAATGAACAGAATCATCAAGCCTCTAAATCAAAAAGCATCTTCCATCAGATGTATTTGTATGCAAGGTGGATCTGTATCTACATCTCTCCCAGGTGGACGTCATATCAAGATCTCTATCTGGATCCATACCTCTCTCTAAGGTGTATCAACATCTATCTTAGGATCACATCACTACCTGGACATCTCTATCAGGTGGATCTTCATCACTACCTGAACCTCCCTCTATGTAGATCTCTCTCGGGATCTTTTCAACGACTCTCAAGCTCCCCTGTATCACAAGCTCTACTACCGACAGCATTACAGCAGCGAATTGTTCTCTCTTCTGCTACAACCAGCCGAACAACAGAGGACTGCGGTGTTTGATGAACCGCAAGATGCAGCAGTATTTCTCTTTATTTTCTCCTTTCATTTCTTTCTTATAATTCCCTTGCTACACAAACCTTATGCATTTGGTATTTTGTTAGTATAAGGAAACTTCACTAATGTATAAGATGCTCCGAATTTGGTAAAAAGTTGGTATTTCTATCAGTTTTAAAATTGTGTTTGGTTTTCGGTATCTTCCTATTGTTTCGGTTGGTATTTGGTTTGGTATCGGTTTCCAAATTTTCCGTATTTGACATCACTAGTATGTAGACAAGCTTAATTGCGTTACATTACAACTAAATGACAAAACATGGCATTCGATTCAGCTGATATTTTGCAGTCGGCTGTGCACCACCCGGGAGCTGGACCGTGACTGGCAGTTCTCAGAACCCCGGACCTACCTGTTGTCGGGCCAGCAGTGGAACGATCAGCGCTAGTAACGGAGTCAGCACAACCACCGGCGTCCTCCAGAACCGCAGCGCAGCGCGCACACACGAGCCGCCGTGCGCCGGCCGCACCATGGCTGCACGAGCACGAACCGGTCACGGGACGGACACGGAACGGACGTGAACCGGTCACGAACGACAGTCGCACCACCGCCGCCGCCGCCGCCGCCTCACGGCACCACGTCGCGTCCCTGCGCGGCTCGCCTGCCACCGCGACTGACGGGCGGCGCGTGTGCCGTGCGGCGCGAGCGGCGGGCGGCGGGCGGGCTGCCCGCGGCACTGGCAGCGGCGGGTGCGTCGCGTCAGTATACGGGAGGCGGCGTCACTAGGAGGCCCAGTCACGCTCGCGCGCGCCACCGCATATACCCAAGGCTGTCGAATTCCAGGAGACTCATGTCTGAATGCGTCCGAGATCGTCTTTTTTAGCGTATCGGTTCGCATCGGGTGAGGTTGAGCTTGTGATGAGTTGGTTCATGCCTCAGGTGTGACAGCACATTAGGTGCGCGATACTTCAGACGGCGGTGTTTTCACGCACCCTCCAGCTTCAACTCTTAACATTTCTTATCAGCCTGGTCTGGCCTGGTCTTAAGCTCGCCGGACCTATTGGTTTTCTACATACGCGCCGGCCGAGGGGGGGGGGGCGGGTACGACCCCCCCCCTCGCCGTTTCGCCCCTGGTGGAGCTAGCGCGTCGCGGAAAAAACGAGCGTGTGCGCCGTTACGAGACGCAGAGATTGGTACCCGATTTTAAGGCCCTAGATCAACCGGTGACCTCTGAGGTCAGGTCAAGCGCCCCAAGGTACGGTTCAGTTTTTGGTGAATAACTTCGCAAAAATGGCCGCAGAGCGCCGATTTTGGCAGCATCGTGTTCGCCTCGTCCAGGCGCGTCGAATGATATACTTTTTGTCCGGGTCAGGTCAACTTGGGGTGTTGACCTCAGGTCAAGGTCAGGTCAGCACCCAAAGGTCACGAAGTTGGTCGAAAGAGGTCATGTCGCATATCATTCGATTCGGCAGGCTTTCCTGAGTCCATTGGCGGCTTTCTCGACTCGCTAGCTCAATTTGATCAAGAGTTATTGACGAAAAACTAAAATGACCTTGATGACGTCATAAATGACGTCACGCAAGGTCAACATTGCAAAAGTGACTCATCTAACCTTGCAAGGAGTGCATCAAATCACGATTCTGTGTGCTTGAGATAATGGAGATCGTTCCCGGCGCCAGAATATCAGTTTTCATTTTTCCCCATTGACTTATAATGGTGAGGTCACGAAAATGACCTGACCTCATATGACCTTTAGGAAAAATCCGAGATATTCAAGTTGTGGGACTCATAATGGATACTAGATCCTGCAAGTTTCATTTCCCTGTGACATCTCCTCTGGCAGTGAGGGCGTTGCGAAGTTGCGACATCTGAAGACCGTGCAGAGGTTCACCTATGACGTCATAGGTCAGTGCCCTGACCTGACCCGAAAATGCGGTTGGTGTCAAAAGATCCGGCTTGGATCAAAAGTCAGGTATGCCAAGTTTCAGCTCTCTATCGCCAGCGTGTTCGGAGCTATCGCGAAAAAAACCTATGGGGGGGGGGCGGCACCCGCCCCCCCCCCCTCGGCCGGCCAGGGTTAATGCAGTCTACCTACCTATCCAACTGCCTAAGAAGCTTGACCTAATCTCACAAACATGAAAAATGCATGTGACACATGCGATGCAGCACAACAGTGCCTGCAGCCGCTGTTTGACAATGCGGTTTGACGAGACCAGTATGTGGCATGCTGCGATAGGGCCATCTAGCCGGGGAGAAGGCTGTGCCTCCCCCGGATCCCATCACATGCAGCACTCGGACCCCGACCCGTTCCTGTTCACCGGTCACAGGACCCCAGTCAGTCCAGCCCTGCTGTCTATCAATGACGCCAGGTACTCGTAGGTTCTTTCCCCTCCCAGAGATCTCAGTCGCTGACCGAATGCCTTAGCGCCGGATTGCGACAGCAAATAGTTGCCACTTGCCGACGGCGGTGCCGGTTCCTTACGCGCTGGGCGACCGACGGTTTTTGTAACAGAGTCAGCAGGAGATGGTCGGGAGGGGTGGAGAAAGTGGGGGTCGAGCTGTCCCAAGAGGGCAGCGGTTAAAGCGTAACATGAGACATGGGGTATGGTCGGCGAGTGAATGGTTTTGAGACAGGGACAATGGTGGGCGACCCTCGACGGCTAAGATGCGATCACACGAGCACTCAGCACACGAATGGTGTGTTACAGGCGTGGTCCTGTCTGAGTCTGACTGCGGACGGTCAGAGTGGACGTTCACTGCTGATACTGGCGCGGTCCATACTTGTTCAGAACACAAGACACCTTCCACTGACGAGTAAACAGAATGCCCATTGCCCAGTCCCCATATCCATGGCAGTCATAGGATTAGGATCAATAATCGTGAATCAGCCAAATAAAGGAAATATGCCACTTTCCTCTGAAACAGTTTCATGATCCTGTTTTCGCTCAAAATGATCGAAAATGAATAAGCTTCCGAAAAGAATTTTTTTTTAAATATTTGCATACACATAGGAAGAACTATTTTCCATCTATGGTAGAGGATAAACAGTGTTCGCAGAGGAACCTTAGTTATTAACCCGCGCCCTGGTGGGGGGGGCTATTTTTTGCCCCCCTCCAGACTTTTCGATATATCTCCAGAACCGCTGCGCCGATAATCACCAAACTTTTAGTACCCTCCCGTACATCAATTTTACACATTGTGGCCAAAAATTTTTCCAAAGGCTATGATAAGTTGGCCGGAAATGACGTCAGAGTGACGTCATGTTCTGCCGTTTTCGACCCAAAAAAAAGGGTTTCGCGGGAAGAGCTGTCAGGCCTATAGCTTTGCAAATACAGAAAAAACGATTAAGGCATAAGAGCTGTAGAATTGACAGGGCTACAAAACTACTATCTCGGATTTTTGATTTTTTTTATTTTGACCCCAAAAAATCAAAAAATAGATTTTTTGAATATAATAGCCTAAAAATCCAAAAAGTTTTTGAATTTCACAAAAACCGGAACATATGTGGTAGTCCTTACCGCTTTCTATCCACATACCAAATTTGGGATTGATACCTCTTTTTTTGGCGAAGTTATAGCGAAAAAAACGGTTCAAAATTGATGACGTCAAATTTTCAAACTCAATTTTTACCAATTTTAGACCCCGTAGCGCAAAACAAAGACCACGATTAGACTCCCCGTGACCAGCTGCATCGAATCAATACCCATTTTATGCAAAACTATCAACTTTAAAATTTGACCTTTTTTACCTGATCTTGACCTGACCTTCACCAGAAAGTGACCTAAGCCGTACCTGATAGTCTTATAACCAACACCATTGAGTTGGAAATGAAAAATTGGCTATAAAACATGCATCGCACAACCTTAGTACCTAAAGTTAGGTTCATGTGACCTGACCTGTGACCCTTGGTGACCTGACCTCTGACCCGACCTGGTAATGTCAGTGACCTCTTATAGCAACATATGTACTAGGCAACTGACGCCCTATCGCTGATTCTCGACAAAATGCGTTTTTTTTTTCGGTGTTATAGCGCATTCCCTAGAAGACCCGTGAACGGTGAAACATCTCATCTTTGACCTGACCTGTGACGTCATCGGTGACCCCGAGGTCAATGAAATTTGGTTTCCCTCAACAAATTTGACAGAGCTATCGAACGCCGTTTGAATTTTGCGGATCCGTCCAGTAGTTTCGGAGATACGAGGGGGGGGGGCAAAAAATAGCCCCCCTCCCCCACCAGGTCGCGTTATAAACAGACCCCACCAGGGCGCGGGTTAAGAGTTGACCAATTATATTGCGTAGCCTAAAACCAACTGAAGGCTGATTGGCTGACGTTGCTCTGGCCTCTGCCAGAGGTGGTCGCATTCTTGGCATTCTTCCGTAAGGCACCGTATTCCTGCGTAAGGCACTTATTTCGGATCGAGAAATGGAATATATTTGCCATAGGGTGATAGTCTTTGGACCGTGAAAGCCCCTGATTTGTGCTAGTCTCAGCTCAGGCTACAAAACTGCTATTCCATTTCAAATCCCCATGCTTAAAGTGGTATACCTATTTCCTTCAAAATAGTCCTTTGCTTCCATTGGGTAAATATCCCAACCCCAAATACAACAATTTGGTGTTTGCAGGTTGTATGCATTAGAGGTGGCAAAAGATGAAAATTTTGGGAACCAGACTCGAACCAGACCCAGCTGGACATTTCTGGAACCAGTCGGACCCGGCCTTAGTTGGAATCGGAACCAGTTGGACCCGGTTCCCCAAAAGTCAATTAATACAAACTACTTGTAGGTATCATTAGTAGCAACATGTAAAGCAGCCTATTTCCCACTGAGAATACTCATGAGCTACTGTGTGCCAAGAAACATTCACTTCATATTTTGCAATAATGTGTAGTGTGCAAGATGTACAGTTTATGGTAGGACCCGGTTGGACCCGTCAGAAAATTTCCAGGAACCGGTCTGGACCCATATGGGTCCAGACTGGTTCTTTGGACCGGGTCCTCGGGTCCACATTTTGCCACCTCTAGTATGCATCCAGTTGCGAGTTTGAATACTCGGCGGATCGCCGGGCCTTGTCAGTCAGCCACCTGTGACGCGCTGCACCTATTGATTGGCCGTCGGCACTTGTGCTGACTCAGGTGAAGGCATCTCTGGCTGACACCTGGCTCAGTGACTTGAATTTATTTTCTCAAAAAAAGTGTGGCAACCGAACTGCATTGTCTTCATCATGCCCGGCGGCGACTCAAATTGCGGTAAGGCGAGGGAGCAAACGGGCATTTATCCGTGGATGCGACATCATATGATCGAGCGCATGCTCCAACCTCAGTGGCTGCTCGGTAACGATAGTGGGAATTGGACGGCGAGACTCAGGCAGTCCGAGCTCCAGGGTCGTCCATGGACGACCTTGGTCGCTAACTTTGAGTCAGCCTTAAGCTCTTTTTGCTATATGTGCCTTAGGTAGGTCAATTAGGATAACTGCTCAGTCCGGGGAAACCTAGCGGTGATAACGAACCGGACTATTTATCTTTTGCTCTCTCGATCATGTCCACCCAAAGCTCTGACTCGACAAGACCGCCTCCAGGGGCTCGTCTTCCACCCGATCTTGACCCACCAGAAGGCCGCGCTCTCATTCTGATGAGCCGGCCTGATGGCACTCCACTGCGAGGGAACCCGTTCGCCATCCTCAGGGAAATCCGCTCGATCTGTCACTCTGAAGTCGAAAAAACGAAACAACTCGGATCTGGCAAAATTCTCATCTCGACCCTCAACAAGGACCAAAGCTCTGCCCTTCTCTCCTGCAAAAACATGCTTGGAAAACCTGTCTCGGCAATTCTCGCTACCAACCTCATGTCTTCGCAGGGT